AAAATAATATTCATAATTCTTCGAAGTAAAACGCAATAATCCCGATTGCCAAATTAGTAATAGCGAATTTAAACAAACGAATTTTTCTACATTACCAAATATGGTATGGCCTAATTTCGACTAGAATTATTTTACCGATCAATCAAGATTAAAGATTGTTACAATTGTCATCTTTGAAATAATAATAATAATAATTTTTTAATAATGGTTATATATATATATGTATATATTATTTTATAATTCAGTTTTGTTTTGTTTTTCTTTGAGAATTGTCATCTTTGAAAAAAATAATAAAAATAATTTTTTAATAATAATTTATATATATATGTAAATAATATATATTATTTTCCAGTTTTTTTTCTTTGAGAATTGTCATCTTTGAAATAATATAAAAAAATAGTTGTTTAATAATAGTTTGTATATATGTGTGTATATATGTGTGTTTTATATATATTATTTCTTTACCTTCTATATGTTAGTTTATAATCTAGTTTTGTTTTTCTTGTCAAAACTAATTTTCTTTGAAAATTTTCACTACATATAAAATTTTCTTCAAGGGTATTACTTCCTAATATGAAAACAGTCTATGAGATACTATCTAGTCATTGTCCATTTAATGTTGACGATTATTTTTGTTTTGCCAATCACTAAATTGACCAATAGGAATGAAGGAAGGTAAATGAAAATGACATAAACGGATATTAAAATATTCCAATATGGCAAATTGGTTTTGACCTCAAATAATTTTAATTAATATTAACAGATGGTCCTTTGGCAAATTGCAAAAAGGCTTTTGACATAAATCATTTTAAATTTTAAAAAATGGACTTTTGGCGTGAATTGTAAAAAGAATTGTAAAAAATAGACTTATGGCATGAATTGTAAAAAATGGTCTTTTGGCAAATTGTAAAAAAAAGACTTTTGACATTATCTTTAACAGATCATTTAAATTGTAAAAAATATAAACTTTTGGCGTGAATTGTAAAAAAAGATTTTTGACATTATCCTAATAAATCATTTAAATTGTAAAAAATAGACTTTTTGAATTGTAAAAAATGGTCTTTTGGCGAATTGTAAAAAAAGATTTTTGAAATTATCTTAATGGTGTGGGATTATCTTACAATACAAGCAACCAGTGTTCCATCAGAACGTGCTTTCTCATTTGCTGGAAATACAATCAGTAAGGTGCGGAATTGCTTATTGCCAGAAACTGCAAGAGCATGTTTGTGTATGAAGAGTTGGATAATCAATAAAGTAGGGGTTTAGAGTGCTAGAATAATATTTTCGAAATTACTTATATTTTTTTCCTTTGTTTATTTTTGTTTTTTTGTAATACATTGTAATTCTATACTAATTACTAATAAAAAATCATTAATGCTTGTTTTATTTTATGCACTTTTTTTTGTATATTAATATCTATCATATTCATTCATTTTTTGTCCGTTTATTCATTATTTACATAATAATAATATGGTTGGCTCAGTCTAAAGACCTCCTAATGCTGCGCCATGCGGCCAAATTTCATAAATAGCAATTTTGTAAT